CTTTTCTCCCGGATGCAGAAAGCAGCGCTAATTACATCAGCACCACCCTCTGCTTCAATATAATGTGAATTAAGGGCACCATAAAGGGCAGGTGCATGACACCCTGCACTCACAGTGTGTCTTTAGTCTTCAGGGTTGAGTAATGCTCTGCTTATTTAACTCAGAACACTGAGGACATCCTGTGGCAGGGAATAGGTACTGCGGGGTGAAGCTATGGTTTTCAGCTCCTCTCTTTTTTTAACGTTGCAGTGAAGTATAATCTTCCTTTCTTGCTGCCTGTCCAGTTTTCCTCTATTTCCTGTTCTACAGAGACAACAGGAAGTGGGAATAGATACAGATGACCCAACTGGAAGATTTCATCCCACTTCCTCCTCCAGTGACAACTCTAAAATGTTGTATTTCCCATCACCAGGACAAACAGAGGATGAATCTCCCAAGCCAGGACATAGACAGCAAAAATCCGAAAGAGGTTCTAAACCTTCCGCCACCCTCCATTTAAAACAAAACAAAAATAAGTTTTGGGTTTAGGTCCACTTGTTGGTTGGAAGCACCCATTTTTGCAGGGAAGAGGCGGCACTTACTCTAGAATGTGTTTCCTAGAGAAGACCCTCAGGATGAATTCACACGGCTGGTCCGGCTCTGCCGTAGAGGGGACGATGATGTAGGATCCTGGGAGTAGGTGGAAGTCCTGGGTCACTTCCCTCTCGTTGATGAAGACGCACTTGTTGTTCACGGGGCGGTTGTTCAGGAAGAACTCTTGGGGTAGACGCCTTCTTATACCTTGGTACTGTGCGGAGAAGACATATTGAGATATGGACCCTTATGAACCCTACAACTTCAATCATAGACAGCTGGGACACAGTTACACTTGTCGCGCTCATGAACACCAACAGCGAATAGCATTTCTGTGCACTTTGGTGCATTTGTTGTGTATCCGCGTAGGGCAGCCCATTCATTTCAATGGGCTGCCCTATGCGCAGCATATATGACAAAGTTGCCATGCACTTTTTTGACCACATGTTTTTGCACATTCTGCTTGCCGTGATTCGGCTTGCCGTGTTTTCCAGCTGTGGTCAAACCACAAATCCCATCAAGTCCTTGCCTCTGGGAGTCATGTCTGTGGCTCTCAGAGTCTTGCAAGGGCTCATGGTTCTTGTACTTCCACAACAGCTGGAGTGCCCGAGTTTGCCTACCTCAGGCCTAAAGTATACATTGGCTTTCTCTGAACTATACTCTAGCCCAAAAATGGCTACCATAATGGTTCACAGGTGACAGGTACACTTTAATGGCAGTTCCGTGTCTTTCTCTGGGTCAGTTGCCAGGGTTTAGGGCTCTGGGGGTGCAGGTTTTTTTTTGGTCACCAATCATATTCACCCATCCAGGCAACCTGATTGGTAGTGATGTTGAAGTAACTAATCAGACACATTGATGCATCAGGCTGCAGTGGGCGTGCTCAGGAATATCTCACCAGCATTACAAACAGGTCAACACGAGGAGTTCACAGATCACCAGAATACCAAGGAAAGTGGCCATCGGCCCCAAAACTGATTATGCAGGTGGAGTCCCTTATGGGAACTAAACCCTGGACCCTCGCTGCTTAGCTAGCATGCTGCCTTAGAGTGTAAGCTCTTGGACACCCTTTAAAAAACAAAGCAAGGACAACGCCTTCTCCTCATTCATTCACGTTTATTTTAAATTTGAATGGAATAGATAAAAGCTACTTATACATTGTGGGTAGCAAATGGCATTGTATACACACATTTCAGCATCCAAGCTAATGCGTTTCAGGGCTGGACACCCCTTCTTTACAGCTCTGAAGAAGGCGTGTCCAGCCCCAAAACGCATTAGCTTGGATGCAGAAATTTGTGTATACAATGCCACTTGCAACCCACAATGTATAAGTAGCTTTTATCTATTCCATTTAAATTTAGAATAAACGTAAATGAACGAGGAGAAGGCGCTGTCCTTGCTTTGTTCTTTTACATGTTCCCGGGGGATGCGTCCCAGTAGCCTTCGTGACTGCAGCCTCTCCTGTACTGTGCAATGATTGTAATCTTTGGCGGACAAGCATACAGCCCCATTCCTCTAGGCGCTTGGAGTGTTGCTTTTTCGGTCTTAGACACCCTTTGCCGTCACGCTATGCCATTTTTTATTTTGTGTGTTCAGTTTTGGATTTCTCCAGGACCGGAGATGGCGTCGCCTCGGCATCATTAAAGATTCCACCTGAAAGCTGCAATGGCGAACGCCAAAAGCCACCGAAGCCAGGGTCTATATCTTTTTTTTTTCCTCCTATGTATCAATGTCCCTGACTTGTAATATAAATGAAAAAGACAACGGTTAGCGATTCTGGTCAATAAGAGGATTTATTATCCTTCTCGGCTTATGAACAGCTACGCTTTTCCAACCTCCGCCATTAATCTCGCTGTTCGATAAAACCTGCATTTGACCCCTCGGAGTACTGCCATCACTTTCTTTTTCTTTTGAAGCGCGCCAACCACGGCGGCATTCATCAAGGCGGCTCTACCCTCGTCATTCTGCCCTCGGCCAAGTGTGCAATTACATATAATAATTATTATTATTAAATGATGACAGAGCGCTGCAGCATGGAGTCGAGAAGGCGGCGTTTGACGCAATCTCGCCTGCCCGGGGTAGACTAATGCTTTGTTTATATTGGCGGCTCGGCGGCATCAATTTTTCGGCATTACGAATGCATTACACCATTGATTTTGACATTACTGCAAGTGCTCGGCTAACAAAGCTCTGTTTAATAAGGGGCTCGGCTCGATGAAAGTGTGAGAGGGCAGATTTAAAGCATAACCCCGCTCACCTTCAAAATGATGTATATTTGGAGACCGGACTAAGAATTCTTTTTGCAAATATACGACTGTGTAAAAAATGTTCGGTTTTCTTTAGTAGAGCGCATAGAAGTCTGAGCTTCATCCAGAGAATAAATTACTGGGATGGGTCCAGCAGTCTGCAGGCCCCTCCCCGTTGAAATTCTACACTTATCAAGAGTTCTGATTGGCTCAATTTGAAATCAGACAAATCCGTGTCCACCTTGCTTAAAGGTCATGTGACTAAGGGAGTGACTAGGAAGCTGATTGACCTCTTAGCCCCTCCTTGAACCACTGTGGAGCGGTATTACTAATGCAGATCAGGGCTCTAGCTGCATTGACTGTGCATGTTCCTCAGCAGCAGCGTTGTCATCCTGCTATGTAAACTCCTTCAGTTGGCCATTGGGCTCCCTATCAGGTCTATCAGATGGTCAGTGGGTCACACACGGGGCCATTCAATACTAATACGAGGGGCCAAACTATTTGATTGAGCAGCGATAAGCAACTTCCACACTCCAGCCATGGTGCATCTACACATTTCATCATGCTTCTGCCTCTGGGAGTCATGCCTGGGGCTGTTAGAATCTTGCAATGCCTCATGAGACTTGTAGTTCCAGAATATCTGGTTGCCCACCCCTGGATTAGAGTATCTATTGCACATTTTGCCAACGGTGAAACTGATCAAAGTCATACGGTATCCAACCAGCTTGGGTTATAAAGCTGAAGGATCAGCATGACACCCCATCTTGCAAAGGGTGCTAGACATAGCAGCACAACATTGCCTGATGGGTTCATCTTGAACCTCTGCTTGCCGTTGACTATGTGATATCATCTGTGTATGCCTGAGAGACAATCATATGCCTTATAGGCACCACAACTCCTAGCAAGCCCTGATCACTCATTTCAAGGAGCCTTCAGGTCTTGCTGGTGGTTGTAGTTCCTCAGAAGGTGTATAATGTATGTAGCCCACTAGGGGTTGTAGCACTTTGGCAGCTGTACAATGCATGTTGCCTGCTTTTATTGTGTTCTTTCTTTCTCTGATTATTCATTTCTACCTCTTCAGGGTTGTAAGATATAGAAGGAATTGTCAAGGGTACTCACCTCAAGTGGCACCTGCAAGAGTAGAAGGAGAGAGAAAAAAAGACCAATTAGGTTATAGTTATAATAGAATAATATAATAGTAACAGTGCCCCCTGGAGGAGGACATGGGTAGCGCCGCTCAAAGAATACAGTTAGCACTCACTAAAAGAGGACCTGTCACATTTCACAAAGCATTGGATACATTCCTATGTTACAGCCTGATAATGTACAAAGTACAATCCTCCCCTTCTGGTGCCATGACACCATTGATGCATCTAGCTGCAGGCGGGGCACGTCACTCCCAATGCCATTCGTTTATAACTTTAGCCAGTTAGAAGCTTGAATTGCATTCTGGAATATTGCTACATCCACAGAAAGCTTTACTGAAAGACAGAGAGCAAGTCCTGGGATGGGAAAGAGACAGTCAAGATGGGAAGGAAAGCCATAGATGATGCTGGATGTCCTCCAGCCAGGAAATGAGGCGGGCTCTATCTGACTTGCTGCAGCTTCTAATGCACATTGTGAGAAGCTCACAGTGTGCAGTGACATCAGAGTAAGCAATGTCAGTCCAGGAGAGGAGCCGGTACAACTGTGCAAGGCAGAAGGGAAGGCCAGCAATAAGATTTAACTAAAGTGGCATATTCTAAGTAAAGTGCAGAATTGTATTGTCTGCATGAATTTTATAAGTAACCCCAAATGGTAAAAACAAGAACAAAATGTCCCATACCATAAACACGGAGAGGCCAATAAACAGCGGCGGGAACTGGTTCCGGTGCTTGTGGTTCTGTTTTTGGAGGAGGGACACCAGGACGCTGCACGAGTTTGTGTATTTCTCCATGTTGTCTCCCTTTAGTATCTTCAGCCTGTACTGGGGGTTCTTCCAGTACGAGTCTACATACAGGAAGACATAAGAATCCTCTGTTACAGTGATGCAGTGCAATATATTGTATTCCCAATAAGGTGATTATCCTCATTTCTCAGCCGCCCCCATGCACATATGTATTTATAAATAATAAGGTGTTCACACACTGGTGAATTAATTAAATTATTTACATGGAGGAAAAATATTTACAAAAATGAATGAAATAATTATAATAATAAACAATACAACAAATAATAATAATCAAATAAAAATGAAATAATAATAATAAAATTATAATAATTATTAAAATAAATATGAATAAAATAATAATAATTGATAAAAAAAGAATGAATTAAATAATTAAAACAAACTATTCAAAAAAATAACACATGCATTATAGCTTAGTGAGCTAAACTTATATTTCCTTCAAAGTAATGGAATAGATTGGAGTTTTTGCTGCTGTCATCCAAAGGCTTTTCAAAGCTGCACCAGAAATAAAAACTATAATTGATTTCAGATTGGCTACGATAAGCAAGACACTTCCTTTGTACTCAAGCTTAGAAGGGTAACTCCTTATCTCAAACTTGATAGCTAATTCTATGTTTTGGTGGAAATTGATGAAGGAAAAGTTTAAAACAAAACATAGTTTGAGATACCAAAACCGGGATGGATATAAATGGATCAGGTGGTGTAGGGAGGCCCTTACACGACGTAGTTCTTGGCATATGAAGGACATTTTACAGAAATTGTACAATTAAATTATAATGTGGGTGGTCATTATAGAAAACTTTCCTTTGCAAATAGAATTTAGGTTTTAGTTGGGAGTGACTACAAGATGGATTCATGCTCCAAATGGGCCGTGGATTCTATGGTCTACTACATGTCACTGGTCCAGTCATAAGCCGTCTTGTTGACTTTACCTGTATATGTCATTCTCCCTCCCGCTGTGCTTCCACCCAGCCACTTCCCAGTCTGCATGGATAACGTCCACTCCTTCCCATTCTCGTGGCTCATGAGGTCAGGGGTCAGCTTGCAGATAACCAGCTCCACAAACTGGGCTTCGAAGTCTTCAATGGACATCCTGTAAGGATCCAAAAACAAAATGATAATTGAAAGGGCCATTGTGGGCCAGGTTGGGCAGCATAGGGCCTTAAGGAAAAATGTAGACTGACCACCTCCTGAAAAGGCTAGCTAACTGGCAGTCATGTTGATCCTCCATCTTCAATACTTTCCAGGTCACTGAATCACAACTAGAACTGTCCCCAAAATTTACATCTGGACCTAATTTCATGAATTCAGATGCCCCAAGCCGAATCTAAATTTTGGAGATTGGATTCCCAAAAGGGTTTTGGAACAAACAGACCGAATGTTTCTCAAAAGGTTGTTTCTGTCTGATGCTGTACCATGGGCACTCTTAGCTTGACTGCTGGTGCCACCAGGTCCTAACCTTCTACCTCAGAATCTCTGGTAGAATTTTAAAAGAAAGGGGCTTGGGCTGTTTTTTGGACCCATCATCTCGTTAGGTTGCCAGGAGCTTCCCAAACCATTCCTCGCAATTGTGTATGCTTTGCTGCTCTGTAATACATGCTTTTTGAAGCTTGGTTCTGGATTCCCATTGACTTACATTTTGGATTTCGGGGGTTCGCAAAGTTTTTGGCAAAACCACCACTTTTTCTGAACTTCACTCATCTCTACTCTGAGCAAGCATGCATGCATTGAGGTCAGGTCAGGTCCTAATCTGCAGGCCTGCTCCAGGTCACCGAGAAAGTGTTGAAGCTGGGTAAGCTTTTCTGAAAATTGACCATCTTGTCTTGATTGGTATTGAGACTGTAATGTCCTCCTTCTATTGTAAAGTGCTGTGCAGACTGTTGGCGCTATATAAATCCTGAATAATAATTATAAGAATATGGCATCTGTAATAATATTACCAAAACTCTCCGTTTTCCCGCGTCTTTCGCAGCAACAGTCTCTCCTTCAGGCTGAGCTGGTCCCATTTGGAGGAGCTGGAACAAAGTCACAAGAGAAAATGGATGACTGGAAGGCATTTGGGCACATAGATAGATCGTATAAATTACAGCGGAGACAAGTGCGAGGGATCGATCCTGCCCACGGCTTCTCTGAAATGAGTTTCACGCTGTGTTTTGTGGCAGAGCAGGAAATACCGACACAAATTCTATTCACATTCTCTTAATAATTTCATAAAGGGGGTTTTACAATCATTTGCAAATTAAAAATGCAGTTAATATGTAATAAGAAGAGAGGTTCACTCTCGAAAGCTTGTCTTTTATATATTTTGTTAGTCCAATAAGAAAGGTATAATTGCACACTGCAATACTGCGTTTTTGTTTGTTTTGACGTCTTTATATATATATACACACACACACATACACAATATATTGGCAAAAGTTAATCAAGAGTTTTTATTATATAGAAGCATCATTAGTAAGTAGAAACAATATGTACAATTTTTAACAAAAGGAGGAAATGAACGCTTTATATATGCAGGAGAAGAGTGTGGAGGGTATGACAGGGGGCAATATGTGCAGGAGCATAGTGTGAAGGGTATGATAGGGGGCAATATGTAGAGGAGAGGAGTGTGAGGGATATACAAGGGGGAAGTATGTAGAGGAGAGACGTGTGGAGGGTATGACAAAGTGAAATATGTTCAGTGGTACCTCAGTTCACAAACTTAATTCGTTCCACGATTCTGGTTGCGAACCGAATTGGTCGCGAACCGAATCAAACTGTGATCAGACCGCGATCTCGACTAGAGGAAGCCACGACCAGTGTGAGAGCGGGGAAGATGGCTATGATTTTGTTCGTCACCCGATGCGGAGTTCGTGAACGGAAGCAAACTTTTGCTGAACTTCCTGTTCGCGAACCGAATTGTTCGCGAACAGAAGCGTTCGTGAACCGAGGTACCACTGTATAGTAGAAAAGTGTGGATGGAATGACAGTGGGCAGTATATGCAGGAGAGGAGTGTGCAGAGTATGACATAATGTATGTGTAGGAGAGGAGTGCAGACAGTATGACAGAAGACATCATGTGCAGGAGAGGTGTGAGGAGAATATGAGAGGAGCAATATGTACTCGAGAGAAATGGGAAGGGTATGAGAGGGGTAGTATGTGCAGGAGAGGAATGTGAATGGTGTGACAGCAGGTGCTATATGCAGAAGAGAAGTAAAAAGGTATTTTTACACTGCACTCCTGTATATCAGGAGAAGAGTGTGGCGGGTATGACAGGGAGCAATATATGCAGGAGTAGAGTGTGGAGGGTATGAAGGTGGGCATTATATGCAGGAGGAGTGCAGAAGGTGTGACAGCAGGGTGAAGACAGAAGTACAGAGGGTATGAGAGGGGCAGAATGTGCAGGAGAGTTTAAAGTGTGTGACATCAGGCAGTAGGAGCAGGATAGGCGTGCATAGCGAATGCCATTGGGAGGTATATGTAGAAGAGGAATTTAGAGAGTATAACAGCAGGCAGGAAATGCAAGAGAGGAGTGTGGATGCTATGACGGTAGGCAGTATATGCAGGAGAGGAGTGCGAAGAGTATGAAAGTGATATATAGATTGTCCACCAATATAAACAACTATTAGGCTGAGAGTGCTTGCGCCAAATAACAAATGTCATTACAGCTTCCCTTTAACCATGGGGTATTTTGCTAGCACTGGGGTACACTGAAAAAGCCAGATAATGGAGACATCATAAATGGAGAAAGCATAGCAATGCACATTATAACTATTTCAGTAGATGTGTTACATTGTTGGTCTTGGGATCTCCTATCATATCATATATTAGAATGGGCTATTGTTCTCACTCTAGTAAAATATATCATTTAACTTATACAAGCTATCATGTTGTCATCGTGTACTGCCGCATTTCTACCAGTAGAGGGCAGCATGTTACCCCACACAGAGACATTTTTATATAATGGACATCTTTTCTTTTCTTTTCTTTTTTAAAGTTTTACTCACTTGTCACTCCAATTTCCTTTCCATTCAATCTTCCCCCATGGGTTCCTCAGCCTGACTAAATTTTCTGTTCCAGATTTGCAGGTCACCTGGAGAGAAGAGATGGGAAAGCCTGATTCATTTATCGAACGCAAACAGAGAAGGCCGCTTTGACGCGCCGAGAGACATTCATCAAAGGGGTTTATAATTGTGGATTTTTTTACCTTCCTGATTCCCGTCACCGTGTACGCGTGTCCAGCCACTAAGCCGTTCTCCAGAACCCTTTCAGGCTGAAACAGAATCACAAAATAGGTCAGAGATAAGAGGCGAGCCGCAACCATTCGGCACATTAATAAAGACGGGATTTTGGAGGATTGTTCAATGCAGTCGTCGTGGTTGTGAAGCTGAAACGCTCGCTCCTCTTGTCTGCCATTCGTGAAGTTGTGATTGGTGAACTACAAGTACAAGCATTGTTGGGGCTCTTATTAGATATAATTGGTGTCATCAGAGCTCAGGAAATGTAATTGTTTAACTGACCATCTGACACCCCATTCACACCAGAGCTGAGCGTTTTTTTGGCAATTTTTTTATATGTTTTTACGGGCATTTTTCACTTTTGTTTAAGCCAATCGAAAGCTAGTTACTAGGAGGAACAGAAGGCTGTTAGGTAAGAAATTGCTTGAAAAACGCACATTCCATGCATTTTTCACATGCTCCCATTGAAGTCTATGGGAGCCAAAAATGGCCAACTCTACCTAAAGGCTACAAGCCACTCGATGCCCAGCTGTGAATGGGCACCACTGAACGCAATGGAATTCTCCTTGTTGGCCGATGACCTCTGATGATGGCCAGGGCCAGATTTACCACTAGGCAATGTAGGCCTCGACAGAGGGCCGCTGCCTGACTGGATATATGTTTTTTTATAGTCCTCCGGCAGGGATGGCGATGACGCTGTGCTCAGAGATGCGTAGAGTTGCTGATGTTGGAGCCCCCCCCTAATCCTCCCCAGATTTCTCTTGCTGCTCCCATCCAGTGTTCAGTGGGAGCTGCTGGGGCCCCTGACAGCAGCATGCTGCCTTCCCGGGGTCCCCCATCACCAATCTCAGCCAAGCATCAGCAGAAGAGGGATCTGGTGAGCCACCGAACAGCTGAAAGCCAATGAGCAGAGTGCCGCCAGGTGAGGGGAGCAGTGGTCGCCTGGAATCAGGTGTCAGGAGGATGTGGAGCCCCACAAGGACGTGTAATACAGAGTGGGTGAAGACAAGAAATTTGGACAGCCGATGACGCTTCAGATTTCTCTGCCTACAGGCTCCTAAGAAATAAATCCGGCCCTGATGATGGCTCTAGTTAGCCGGGCTTTCAGCCCTTTACAGCCCTCAAGCATTGAATTGGAGCCCCGTGTGGCTGGTTCCTTTTAGTTTCCTATTGGAACGAGGAAAACCGTGTAGAGCCATCTCAAGAGCCTTTCCTACCTTTCTTCAGTGCCTGAAACATGTCAGAGCTTTTGTCCAACTGTAGTGAGCAGAGACTGAATGAGTGAGCAATTGCTTCCACATGGGGAAACATTTAGATATATGATAGAAAACACATTTCGCCCAAATCACTTGTACTGTAGTTGAAGGAATGGAAAGAATTGTCATGGCAATAGAGGAGCTGACCATTGAAACTTGGACTTACCCCTGCCCGAGTCTGACAGCCCATCAAGGACCCGCTGTACGCTGCCCGTACCATGATCTGCCACAGGTCTGCGGGCGCTTTCTCCAGCTTGACGGTCATGTTGACCCCGCCGGTGAAATCCACCAGAGCCTCAGATACCTGACCAATCTCTAGATCTTCATAGGAGCCGCACAGCCTGCCAGACACAGAAGGGGAAAAGGTTATACCTGCATTCAGCCACTAGAGGGCAGCATGAAACTCGTAAAAAAGGGGAATACACTCCGTCTAGAACAAGGGTGGGCAACTTCGGACCCCCAGCTGTGCTTTAACTACGACTCACAACATGCCTCTGGGAGTCATACCTGTAACTGTCAGTGTCGCAGTGCCGTATGGGAGTTGTAGTTCGACAACAGCTGGAGGGTCAGAGTTGCCCACCTCTAGAGCAAGGTTGTCCCCATATAACAGGGAGCTGAAAATACACATGACAGCATTTCCAACAAGCTTGCCGCATTGGCATCCAATCAGGAGCTACACTCGTCTGACAGCATTTCTGAAGCATCAAATAACATATCCTTTTAAATGCTGCAGCTCTAATTTAAGCAGACCTGTCACGCCCTGAAACGAGTCCGTCCAGCCATAGTTGGCAGCAGCAATTAATGATTATTAGGACATGCCACATTTTTTAGAGCATAAATGTAGGAACAGGAGCCAACCGGACTGAAAACTTTCCAGATGGACCTTTCTGTAACTTTACAAGTCTTCATAAATAAATTCCAGATGTGTCGCATACAGCAACAGTATACAAAAAGCTGCTCCTTTTATTACTGAAAGAGTAACCCTTCAGCTGCAGTGCAGTGACTTGGCCTAGCTGAGATTATGTCATCAGTCTGCTGCAGGCAGGAGGAAGCATTTCCTCTGTCACCTCTCCCCCCAGTGATCAGTCTGCTTCAGGAAGGGGGAAGCATTTCCTCGGTCACCTCTCCCCCCCCCCAGTGATCAGTCTGCAGAAAGAAGCATTTCCTCAGTCTCCTCCCCCCCCCCGTCAGATTGTAACATTGTAACTTGGTAGCTAATTGCCAAGGTGGGGCTGATATGTGTCAAACATAATTACACCAGAATCTAAATGATTGCATCATCTCAGAATCGGCATCTGAATCTCAATCAATAGATGCTGATGCCTGAACAAAGATGGCTCCGCCCTTCTGCATTGTCAGGGGAAGTACTGTGATTTCAGTGACAGGTCATAAGGCTGTCAATCTGTCACCCTGATATTGCATTCAATATGAGACGCTCCCATTCAGATCGTGAACTGATTTGCTCATCTTCTAATCGGCGAAGAGAGGTAGCCTCAGAGCTCAGCTCTTTTCACTCAGCAATGGCAGCTCCCTTTAAGCCCAGTACCAGCCCATTGTAAGCATTTTGTTTTACTCAATGTTAAATTATTATCAATGTTAAAGACACTGCAACACTGTCCTCTTGTGGACGAATGCAGAACCACTCCGGACGATGAATTATTACAGAAGTCGGCTTTAGTCACAGCAGACAAATCTTTTACAGAATGAAATGGAGATCCTGGTTGACGGAGACAACACAGACAGTCCTTTGTTCAGATTTTTCTTTATATCCAATGCACTTACTTGGCATAGGCTTTCTCCAGCAGAGGACCCCAGAACAGGTTCTTCCTTGAAGAGGACACAAACAAGAGCTTGCCATCCTTATTGACAGGTAGACGGTCGTCGACCACGACATCGATCCACTCGCCAAAGCGCCAGAACTGCAGGAGAACCACAAAAGGTGTCATTCGGGTTTATATAAGTGTTTAGATCCTCACATACGGCATATCCAGACAAAGAAGCCTGTTAGCAAATCTAACCCTTTTCTGTGATCAGGGACTCTACCAGCCACAATTTCCTGCTTTGAGTTAAAGGATTCCTAATAAGCAGTGCATTAGCTTTAAAACAAGCCCTCATTGACCTCTGTAGCTGCAGGCGTTGTGGAGAAAACAATCCTCAAGGTTCAAGCAATTTTCTCAGTAGCTCAGCTCCCTCTGCTACCCTCTCCTAGTATAATACATCCGCAGCTCAGATTGCCCTGCTCCCCCTCCCAGCAGCGGCTCAGCAGCTCAGCTCCTCCTGCACCCCCTCCCAGCAGTAACTTAACATCTAAACTCAGCAGCTCAGCTCCTCCTGCACCCCCTCCCAGCAGTAACTTAACATCTAAACTCAGCAGCTCAGCTCCTCCTGCACCCCCTCCCAGCAGTAATAAGCAGCTCAGATTGCCCTGCTCCCCCTCCCAGCAGCGACTCAGCAGCTCAGCTCCTCCTGCACCCCCTCCCAGCAGTAATAAGCAGCTCAGATTGCCCTGCTCCCCCTCCCAGCAGCGACTCAGCAGCTCAGCTCCTCCTGCACCCCCTCCCCGCAGTAACTTAACATCTAAACTCTTTTTGCGCTCTCTCCCAGCAGTGACCCAGCAGCTCATCTCCTTCTGTTTCTCCTTCACAGCAGTGACCCAATTGCTCAGATTTCCCTGCACCTCTCCCCCAGCAGTGACTCAGCAGGTCAGCTCTCCCTGCCCCTCCTTTATAGCAGTGACTAAGAAGCTGAACTCATTTTACTCCCCACTCTGCTGGTAGGGGGAGCAGGGTGATCTGAGTTGCTGGGACACTGCTAGGTGGGGGAGCAGGTGGAGCTGAGCTGCAGAGTCACCCCTGGTAGGGGGAGCAGGGTGATCTGAGCTGCTAAGACACTGCTAGGTAGGGGAACAGGTTAAGCTGAGCTGCTATGTCACTATTAGGGGGGGAGAAAAGGGGGAGCTGAGTTGCTGGGACACTGCTAAGTGGGGGATCTGAGCTGCTAAGTCACTATTGGGAGGGGGAGCAGAGTGAATTGCGCTGCTGAGTCACCGCAGTTGCAGTGCCGCTGTTTTCCCGACCCTGCTCTAAAGCATTTCAGTCAAATAATGAAAAGTCTCTGAAATCCCCCCATTTTTTGGGCTGAAATTTTGAACTGTCAGTTCCAGTCATCCCAGACCTCCCAATGGCTGCAGAAGATCCCTCCGAGGTTGCGGCTTCCTTGTAACCCATAATTTTCCCAAACAATCTCCCGTGCGCCTAACGGCTTCCCGCCAGCAATCTCTGCGCGGCCCGCGACCCCGCTATTTCTTTACAGCTCATGATTAGAATGTGGATTGCAGAACACGAGCCGGCGCCTCATAATAGATACAACCCAACCGGCCATAAATCGTAATAAGTGTTCATTATCGGGGGCCCGGCGCTACACTAATGGCCCGCTACGGAGGAGGAAGGTCAATTACAAGACCCGATTGCCTCTAGATGCAGGAGATCCCATTAAAATAAGATCTCTGCGTATATCTAACAAGAAGCGTGTGCGCGGCGCTGATAGCGGACACATCCAAGGGAAATGTTACAGTAATAGAAGATGAACAGAGAAGATCTCAGGCCGTGAAAAGGTCAGCCAGAATTGTTGGGTTTGGAAAGAATAAATAAATATAAAAAACATGTGCGGCATTCAGGATCCGAATTTCCATATTGCATTCGGGAGCTCCCGAACGCCATTCGGGTCTGGGAGCCATGTACATACAGTATATTACTAACAGTGGGGGGTGTGGTCCGCACCCGGGTGACACCATTGGAGGGGTGACACCAAAATGACTGACAGTCATTTTGGTGTCACCCCCCTCTGAAAAGTCGGGCCCTCGGGCATGGACCGAGAGCCCGACAGTTGCTCGAGAGAGAGAGAGAGGAGGGGACCCGGTGACATACCTTATCCCGCTGGGTGAATGTCCCCTCCTCTCTTCTGGCGTCTATCACCAAGATGGCTGCCGGCAGGTAGCAGTAGTACCGCATATGCGATGACGTCACTGTGGGGTGTCACCCGGTATGCCTCTGATTACTAATCTAATATTGTTAATGTGTCATCTTAAAACACCTGTAAGTTTTTTGGGGTTTTTTGCCTGCTGTATCCCGTTGGGTGTTACTTCCTGTCCCAACACCACAAAAGGAAATGAGAAGAAATATCTCCAAAGTGAGGGAACCTCTCAGACAGCTATCATCAGAACAGGAGTCCCCAACAGAAGATTTCCCCTCATCTCCTGTTCTGGTGACAACGGTAACATTACATTTTTCCATCACCATTTTATTTAAAGGACTCTCTGGAGAACAAAGATATACTAGGAAGTATACAAAGAGATTTTATCATCAGGATAGAAAATGGTTCCGTAGAAGTAAAGGTCTCTTTTTTTATAAAAGTTTTGGGCACTCACCCGGAAATGGAAGATTCCTGCATAGTTCTTGTCAAAGCTCTGGTTCCGAGGGACCACGTTAATGAGGATATCCTTGTGGAAGGTGACCGATGCCAGAGCAGCCAGGAACCAGCAGTTTTCTGGAAGGGATAAAACATTTAATTAGAATTTAAGATGGCAAGGTCGCAGCATCCGAGAAGGAGAGATCTGCTCTACAGAGGAGGAACCGGACCACGACCATCACTTGAGAGTCAAGAAGGTGGCAACACCAGTGTCAGGGCTCCTAGTTTTACAGTAAATATCCTTTAGGCAACATTATTTTCTCATATTAACAAGATGATACTATTATTATTATCATTATTTATATTATTACAAAAAAAAGGATATCAAGTTTGTCCTGATTTGTCCTGATCTCCTTAAATGCATTTTCCAGGAGAAAGTATTAAAACCTATTTTTAAAGCAAATATTATATGAACAATTGTGATTTAAACGTAGAAGGTGATCCAACCTGAAGATGGTTTTAGTTATAAGTGGAAACTGAATTTTAAAACCAGCCACTTATATTGCGGTGGCCTCTGCAGTGAGATACACTATATGACCAAAGTGTACATACATCTGATTATCACGTCTTCCCATATGGGCAGAAATCTGCGTACACCCATACAAATGGTTCGTGTGTTTCCAGTGAAGGGTCCTGTTAATGTTACAACATTCAAAGACATTTTAGACAATTGTACTCTTCTAACCCCGTGGTAACAGCCAGGGGCGTCCCGAGGCAGGGTGTCACCCGGAGCGAGTACCATGTGACACCCTGCAGTGATGCCATTGCGCGGGACATCATCACGCAGCACAATGTCATCGTGCATGCACGTGATGATGTCATGCACTGTTACCCGAGGGCAGCCGTACTGGTGATGGTGATGCATTGGTGATGGACTGCAGCTGTCGGGCTCTCGGTCCATCACTGAGTGCCCGGCTTTTCAGAAGGGGTGACACCAAAATGACCGTCAGTCATTTTGGTATTACCCCACCAATGGTGTCACCCGGGTGCGGGCCACAGCTTTGGAAAGGCCCTTTTCTACTCCAGCGTGATTGTGTCCCTGTGCAGCTCCGTAAAGACACGGTTTGGCCAGTCTGGTTTGGAGGAACCTGGGTGACCTGCCTTGAGCCTCAACCCAATAAACACCTTTGGGATGTATTGGAAAGCCAACTGTGAGTCAGGTCTTCTCCTCCAACATCAGTAGCTGTCCATCTTTGTTCAGCCATCATCTAGGGTCACCATCTACCTTCCTGGACTGAGATGTTGGCTCAGAGTTTTTATACTCATGTAAATTCTGTGATCACAAATTCTGACTTGTTACAAAGACTCATCTTTTGACTTGTTACAAAGTTACAGTATAGTGGGGGAGAGGAGACTGAGGAAATGTGTCTTCCTGCCTGCAGCAGACTGATGGATCATCTCAGCCTAGGCAAAGTCACTGGATTGGAGCTCAAGGCCGGCTTGGTGGAGCCTTTTTTGAAAAATGATACTGTTGCTGTATATATTGTGACATGTGACGTATATTTATTCATGCAGACTTGTAAAGTTACAGAGAGTCCTAGTTGATTCAATGTAACTATTTGTCATATTAGTACCTGTAAGTCCTTGATGAAGATCGAACCTGCTGGCGTCGTCAACAGAGAAATTTGGATTCTTCACCAGCTCCTGTAAGAATAAATGAGATTATTCCGCTGCCGCTGTCCCCATTTTCATCACATTTACTGAGCAATCATCACTTTGTTTTCAAACATCGGGCCGGCTTTACAAATGTTTGTCCCTTTCCGCCCCCTAATAATTACACCGAGATCCCTTCCTTAATTAAAGTGCGCCGGTATCCAGATCGAGTAATGAAAGCCGTAAATATTAAACGCCGCGGTGCGATTATTCCCCGCGGAGTAGTAAAGCCGAATCCCGCAAGAACATTCGGGGGGTTATGTAAAATATACGCATACAGTGGAAAACCATTCAAAAGGCTGACTTTTAATCTTCTGAGCATTTGCATTAAAGTTCCGCATTTGCCGACATTGTAACTTTGTTTGAATGCAATAAAAACTGCGCCAAACAGGCGAAAGGTAACCCTTTCCTGACCATCACTAGCAGATCTTACTCAGGCAAGACTGAAAATGAAAAGCGGAAGCTGATTGGCTGCCTTGGGCAACACATTCATTATTGGCTAGATATGTTGGACAGAGGAATAGGCCATGGTCATGTGATCTCTATTATAAGGGACTGTCAACAACTTTCTGATTCTCCCCTAGAACCAAGGCTATATGGCCAAAGGCCTAGGCTTTTTCTTATGTGAGTGGCACTGATGGGAGCACCGTGCAGCATTTTCTCCAGGAGAAGTAAGTATGTCATTTTGATTATTATGACTGTTACGATAGCCTTAAAGTTAAACGTTTGAGTACGGGTTGGATTATACTGTATATAGCAACAATACACATAACACATTATAAATAGCAGGGGTCCCTAAATGGCAGACCGTGGTCCCGACGTGGACCGAGAGGTGGTTCTATCCAAAACGCAATCGCTGACCTCCGCTGGGTTATGATTGGTTGACTGTGGACACAAAGGCCTGCGGGAGCAGATCAAGGAACGTCCTCTCTGTGATCAATGAAACAGGGAGCGCTGTGCTCTCAGCGCTTCCCACTTCAAATCTGTCAGAAGCCGGCTGAAGTGCCGGGTGAGCAGAAGATGAAGCATAATCCTTTGCTTGGTGGTCTGTATTGGAAGGCAGGAGAGACATTAGGACTCTAATAGACCCCTGAGGTCTCTATAAAGAGAACCTGTCACCTCCAAATGCTGTCGCATAGGGGCTTGTTAGCCTGGGAACACACACCAGCAGCTGTGCATTGTAGTGCAGCTGCTGGCGTGCATACAGCCTAAATGGTAGAGTGCGGTACCGACCTCTGCTCAATTAAAATTTTACTCACCGGACCCGCTTGAATTTTAATTCACTACCCCTTTATATAGAGCATATATTTTATTGTAACACAGGAAAAAGTGAAATGTATCAAGAACTACTTTTTCATTTAAAATTAGCAGACAAGTATTAGATCCGAAACCTGCCACAAATGTAGTTGCTTTGCAGCCATGGCAACAGCACCCTGTGTTCGTGGCTTTCCTAGATTCCTATACTAATTGCTATTGGCTCATCACTTTTCCCAGAAGCCTGCTCAGAACTTTGCATCAAATTGCAGGCATGTCTGGCACACAGGCACTTCCCAGTCTGTATGTGCATATAATCACGCTGGGAATGCAGTTGTTATCTTACAGTACTGAGACTGATCATGTGATCATGGCAAAGGCACTACCTCCTACTTAGCATTCAGTGTAGACAAGTCTCTAAATATCAAAAGCAGGTAAGGGTCTCCAGTTAAAGTTCCTCAAATGCTTGCCATGTATATTGGTCACATGATGGGGATTTTGTTTTACATTTTGGATAAAGTAGTAAAAGATTAACCCCATGTCAGAATTTCTTTTGTATTGCTATCTGCGTCCTATCTGAGAGATTTCCCTCTACTTCCTGAAGTGAGAGGAAGTTTTGGATATCTGTTCCTGGAACAAGTGTGCCAACTGAAACATTTCCATTGTTTTCTTGTTCTGGTGACAACCCAATATTTTGGATTTCCCATCACCTTCAGTCCTGGGGACAAGGATCATCAGGGCAAATAGAGAGAGTGAATATTCCCAGCGGGAGCAAAGACAAAGAAAATCCAATAGGGGTCCCAACCCTTCTATCTAAAATGAAAGATTGGCTTGAAATTCATAGGACTATCTAAACAGGGGTAAGCAAACTCCAGCCCGCCATTTGTGGGGCAACTACAAATCCCATGAGGCATTGTAAGTCTCTGAGAGCCACAGGCATGATTTCCAGAAGCAGATGCATGATGGGATTTGCAGCTGGAGGGCTGGAGTTTGCCTACCCCTGATCTACACCACATGTTGATCTTCTCCAGATGATGCCATTGACAGGATACATGCATATTTGGACAGATGGTGGAGGGTCCCCAGTACTCCTCCCGTGCCCCATAGCAGTTGTCTTTGCTTATTTCCTGTGCACAGTGCATTTACCTGGGGTCTTTTCCACTCTACACACGGGGGTACTTTTCGTAAGAGGTCTCCGCTGCCGATGGAGCTCAGTTCCGCGGGGAAGGCGTCATCGACAAACAGCTGCTTATTCCTTAGACACTTCTCCAATATGGTCTGGTAGTCCTGACTCAGAAGCTGGCGAGGCTTCCGAAGGGTCCCTGTGCGCAAAACTTGTTTGGTCTTTTTCCTGCCAGAGATGAAGGAGAGGCGAGGCATGGTGACTAGTGGGAGGCCTTGTAGCAGGCTATTTCGATTCAGGCCACCAATCAGATCGCTCAGATCAGCACCAAACTCCAAGGAAAAAAGTATTCAATATGGTTCGTCAAGCAGCAGAGTAAAAGGAGGTGTCAACACAGGACCATGCAGGGTAATGTTCAGCTGGTCTGTAAAGAGAGAGAATGACATGCTTTAATATTCATTGGTTACATAGTTTCAAAGTTGGTACATTAGAATAAAGACACAGGTCAACGTGTGTGCGCATGCAAAACAACGGATGCATTAAAGCAGGGGTGGGCCTGAGGTGTGCATGAGGCCTAATTCTAATCAGGGACTTTGGAGGTGAGGTTAGAGCAGGGGTGGGCAACTCCAGTCCTCCTGCTGTGCTTTAACTACAAATCGCAGCATGCCTCTGCCTCTGGGAGTCATACCTGTAACTGTCAGTCTTGCAATGCCTCATGGGACTTGTAGTTCCACAACAGCTGGAGGGCCAGAGTTGCCCACCTCTGAATTAAATGGTATGTAAACCCTAATAATGTATTATTTTGCTCCCTTTTGGTCTGTTAAATGTATTTATTTTTATGTATTTATTCCAGGCATTTATAAAGCGCTATCAATTCACGGAACACTTTATATGCTGCACATCCGAAAGGGATCTTACAATATCACATACATACGTACGAGGGCCTATATAGACAGGAGCCAATTATCCTTCCAGCATGTCTGTGGAGCTTTACCATTAACAGTTTTATTATATATGTCCTAAAAAATTAAAAAAAGAGTAGCTGTTGATCCCGGCAGAAATCTTGGGAGCTGATAACTTCCTGTGCTCTCTGCCTCTTCTGCACTCTTATCAGTTACTTTGTTTCCATCTATCTCTTAAAAGAATAACACCCGTCACCCTATGTTATGGAGAAATAAAGCAGAGTGTTTGTAGTCCTGTCCTAGGGTGACAACACTGCTTCTCCATAGATACAATACAGACACAGAGAGCGTTGTCACCTTAGGACAGGAAGTCTCTTACTGGCAGGATCGCCAGGTGAAAATAAAGGAAAAATACAACCGTAAAAAAGAAAACTGATCCAAGGACTGGTAAGCTGCAATATAATACACTTCAAAATGCATGTCATATTTTACACCCAAAAAAGATCTGCATTGGTCAAATGAACTTGCTGTATTTTTATTAAGGACGTTTCTCTGGTCATCCGACTAGCTTTCTCAATTGAGAATTGAGAAAGCTGGTTGGATGACTGGCAAAACATCTTCAAGAAAAATACAGCAAGTCCAGTTGCCTTGATTTATTTTTTCCAGATATACCATGACCTGGATGAATGAGAACCCTCACAGACATTGAGCAAATGAGTGTGCCTCAAAGATATACAGCAAGTGTTTATGGAACTTCTTAAAGTATAACTCCAGCCATAACTGGGAAGAGCTTAGAAAATCTATCATATTTTTGCTGCTGTCTGAATTTTGCCCTCACTTCCTGTACCAGAGACACAACAGGAAGTGAGAAGAAATCTCTCCAAAGTGATGGATAGACAGTTGTCACCAGAAACAACCTCATTGGAAGATTTCCCTTCTATTCCTGTTCTGGTGACAACCTAAAAATGTTGGATTCTCAGCACTTTCTGACCCAACGAGGGTTCTTATCCTCCCCCACTCTTTCCATAAAACAAAACAAAAATAATTGGTTGTAGCTTAAAGTTTTAATTTTACAAAGAGCGAATGATGGAAAAATGCATATTTCCCTTTATGAAATCAAGTTTCTCCTTCCGTACTGATAATTGTACATTTGCTGCATCTCAGACAAGTCTTCATTTGTAACAGCTTGATGATGAGTAGAATGAAAAAAAAAAAAAAAAACAACAATGTAATGTAACTGTGTCAGTAGTTAATCCCTTTGTGTGACAATATGTTGATCAGCAGACCTTGTAAAGGATCTGGTGTGTGTCTCAGCTGATTTATGAAGTGTTTATCATTCCCCGTCACTGACATCTCCTCCTCGGCGCTCGCTAATTAGCCTTTTATTAAATAATTTGCAGCTCTGAACAACAAAGATCTGCAAAATGAATTCATTTTTTTTTTTTACACACGTCTTATTTTACAAATTACAATTTGTAAAGTCTGGGAACTCATAGCTAACAATAAGAATTCCCCTTGAGTGGGTGGCTGCTCTGGGTTATCTATACATATATAACATTATATATATATATAGTATATCTATAGATATATGTAGATGTATTTACACCAATTAGCCATGACATTATGACCATCAGTATTACTAATATTGAGTAGGCCCCCCTTTTGCCACCAAACAGTCCTGGCCCATCGAGGCATGGACTCTACTAGACCTCTAAGGACAAGCTGTGGTATCTGGCACCAAGCCGTCAGTAGCAGATCCTTTAAGTCCTGTATGTTGTGAGGTGAGGCCTCCATGGATCGGACTTGTATTCCCAGCACATTCCATAGATGACCGATTGGATTGAGGTCTGGAGAATTTTGAGGCCAAGTCAACACCTCAAACTCGTTGTTGTGTTCCTCAAACCATTCTTGAACCATTATTGCAGCATGGCAGAGCGCATTATCCTGGTGAAGGAGGCCACTGCCATCAGGGAATACCATTTCCTTGAAGGGGTGTACTTGGTCAGCAACAATCTTTAGGTCGGTGGTACGAGTAAAAGTAATATCCACATGAATGGCAGGACCTGAAGTTTCCCAGTAGAAATTTGCCCAAGGCATCACACTGTGTCCGCCGGCTTGTCTTCTTCCCATAGTGGATCCTGGTGCCATATCTTTTTCAGGTAAGCGACACACGCGTGCCCGGCCATCCACATGATGTAGAAGAAAACGTGATTCAGGCCACCTTCTTCCATTGCTCCTTGGTCTGGTTCTGATGCTCACATGCCCACTGAAGTCACTTTTGGCAGTGGACACGGGTCAGTATGGACCAGTCTGCAGCTTTCGCTGCCCCATACGCAACAAACTGTGATGCACTGCGTGTTCAGACACATTTCTATTAGAACCAGCATGAACTTTTTCAGAAATTTTAGCTACAGTAGCTCTTATATTGGACTGTAGTATTCAGATGTGTATCCTGCACTCCTTACAGCACTTGGACCTTTTAGCTTTGCTCAATATCCATGGTGCTCGTAGTGATAATCATGGATGGCGCCGTATACATGAAACTTGTATAAAGTGAAGATCACCAGCACTCAAGTAATAGCGCTAAATTCTTGTGCTGATTTATTGAAGCAGATCGTCACATACACCATAGAGTCAACGTTTCGGAGCCACGCAGGGTCCCATCATCAGGAAAGCATAGGGAACTGGAACCTGATGAAGGCACTCTGCATAACTCTATGGTGTATGTGACGATCTGCTTTGATAAATCAGCACAAGAATTTAGCGCTATTACTTGAGTGCTGGTGATCTTCACTTTCTACAAACTTCTATTGGATTGGACTACACTGGTCAGCCTTCTCTCTCAGCCTTGGCCGCCCATGACCCTGACACTGGTTCACCAGTTTTCCTTCTATGGATACTTTTGGTAGGTCCTGACCACTGCAGACTGGGAACAAGGACTTTCATAGCAGGACCACCAGGGATTGTTTTTAAAGTGTATGTCATGCCAAAAACTTTTTTCTAGCTTTGGATAAAGGGGGGAAGGACTCTGTTGTGTCTTAAAGATGTGAAGGTAAATCTCAACCGGTGGGACATGACAGCATAATAAAATGACAACAGTTTTAACCATTTTCCCCAAAAATGTTAAATAAAAAAATCAGCCTATACATACACATCACTTGGTTTTTTTTTATTCCAGTGAGGAGTAATTATGTCACCGGCAGAAGATGCTGAGCAATGCCGGAGAAGCAGAAAGGTGAAGATGGAATTCTGAGTCACTCTGACTCACCAATCAGGCACTCTGCAGCAAACAGGGATCACATGATCTACCACTCAGCACAATCCAGAAAAACATGACTGCTCACGTGTAGCAGCAGAATGCCACCTACAATGCGGTGCACTCCGGCTCACATGAGAGACATGTATGAAATAGTCCCCTTAATTAAGCCACTGATTAGTGCGTAATTCAACCTCTGAGTATGTTTTCTGCAATGTAAACACATTGTAATCTTGCTAATCTCTTTCCTCGGGGGTAGGCGACCTCAGCACTCCAGCTGTTGTGGAACTACACGTCCCATAAGGCATTGCAAGACTTTGTCAGCCACAGGCAGAGCCATGATGGTATTTGCAGTCTGGAGAGCCGAGGTTGCCTACGAATGGTCTAGTTCATTTTTATTCCGTGTTCTCTTCTATCTGTAAAGAAACATTAATTTTCAGTTGGAAATCTGTGTTTAGAATCTGAATTAAAAGTAGGTTTTCCGGTTAAGGTGTTTGCAGACATCAGAGGGCTTTTGTGGGCCGAGGTAAAATCTACCCTCAGGTACTTGAGCCCACTGGAGAGGCCAGAAACATGAGTGGCCGAGTGCCCATGTTTCAGTGAGTGGAGATTGAAAAGAAGGGTTGGGTATGAGTAGGTATAAGCAAAAATGTAATTCTCCTAAAATTTTGGGGAAAATCAGATTTTGGTAAAATTCTGCAATTGTGTCAAAATGCAATGGAGCCAATGGGGAAGGTGAACAGCAGGGGCTTGTTGGTGGTTGCGTGCAATGGGCTTTACATAGCTCCTGGGGGCTACAGAAGCACCCTTTAGCACCTAGGACCTATTCTTGTTTCAAAAATGGTCCCTTTTTACACTAGTTATCTTTTTTTTACAGAAAGAATTACGGTAAAACAACAACGACAAGTAATAAAATCCACAATAAAGCAGGGAACAAGTACAAAAACCCCCATAAAGAAAAAAAATTAAACTACCCTATATACCCCCCAACTCCAAAAAAAAGAAAAATCTAAGTAAAGAAAAAAACTTGGCAAAAATCAGATTTTGGCAAACTGCAATGGAGTCAATTGGGAAGGCAAAAAACAGGCTCCATTTAGTT